TGGGAGTTGAAGTCTACATGTCTTAAAATGGCCAAAGTTGAAAGACACTGTGTGTGTGTGTGTGTGTGTGTGTGTGTGTGTGTATGTAAAACAGCTCCTAGGGGATCAATGTGTTTGTTGGAGCAATGCTCTGTTTGTTTTAAAAGCAATGTTCGAGCGTACGAACAGCACTACTCATCTTCTCCCCGCAAGAGCCAAAATCACAGTTGGTGACAAACTGAGATCTCAACTTGTGGCCCTCAATGAACTGCCATCTATGCCCTCAGCAGGAAATCCCAGATACCTGGAAACCCTGCAGGGCCATGATGAAGCCACAGAATCTCAGCGCTGGGAGACACCCCAAAGGCCATCCAGTCCGACCCCTGCTCCCGGGAGGAATCCAGGTGACAGTATCCCTGACAATCAGCCGACCAGCCTCTGCTGAAGCCCGTGTAATGCAGGGGGCCCACTATCAGTTCTACTGTCAAACTGCTCTTACTTGGGGAGAAAATTTCCTGGAGTCAACTGGACTCTATCTTCCTGTCATCTGGATGGGTCATTCCCACTATCTGGCACGCTGGAAAGGTGGAAGAGAAGACCTTTTTCTGAGTGACATCTTCATCTCCCCGAACCTTCTCTTCTTAAAACCAAGCATTTCCCATTCTTTCAATCTCCCTTCATAGAACTAAAATTGCATTCGCCTTTTTAGCAGCCGCGTCACGCCACTTGCTCACATTCAGACTGTGTTCAAGCACAATCTCCAAATCCTTTCCATCTCTAGGATTTCAAGCCAAGTATCCCCCATCCTGAGAGCCAGTCTGGGGTAGGGGTTAAGGCAGCAGGCTAGGAACTGGGAGATTGTGAGTTCTAGACCTGCCTTAGGTACAAAAGCAGCTCGGTGACTTTTGGCCGGTCACTTTCTCTCAGCCCTAGGAAGAAGGCAGTGGCATACCACTTTGCAAAATGGTGCCAAGAAAATTGCAGAGACCTCTCCATGCATTCACCAAGAGTCAGGACTGGAAGGATGTATAAATTGGTATTTGAATATCCTTGTTTTCCTCTTCCCAGCTCAGCCTTTTTTTCTTTTGTGCTGTGCCTTTATAGAAAATGAATTCACTGCACAATTAACATGACAAACCAGGAAAGGCTGGTAAAGGCTGAGCATCTATAAAACTGACCGTTTTATACCAGGGGAGGGCCTCAAGTATATAATTGGCCCCTATACTCATGTGAACAAGGGAGAAGGTACATCATTTATTCAAAAAATTCTCCTTAATGCCTATCAGAGAGCTAGTGTGGTGCAGTGGTTAAGGCCCCAGGCTAGAAACCGGGAGACTGAGTTCTGGGCATGAAGCCAGCTAGGTGACTTTGGGCCAGTCGTTCCCTCTCAGCCCCAGGAAGAAGACGACCAGGGCAAACCCTTTCCAAAAATCTTGCCAAGAAAACTGCAGGGACTCGTCCAGGCAGTCTCCAGGAGTCAAGAACTCTCTATTGGGCTCTATTAAATTTCATTTTCCACCTCATTTCTCTACCTTAGCAAGATCATTTTGGATTCTGTTTCTATTTTCTAGTGCCTCTGCAAGCCCATCTACCTGTAGTTTTATTCCACCTGCGAAACTGATAAACCTAACCTAACCTGGACCTTGATCACTCCAGTTGTCACTGCGCTTCAGTTTATTGAGTTTATTGAGAGAAGCCCTGATGAGAACTCTTGTGAATGCAGTTTTCAAGCCAGCCATGGACTCATCTCACAGAGAGGATGCCAGGCCTCACTTAGCTAGTTTGCTAATCAAAACATTATGGGATACTTTGCTTTCTTAAAATCAAGATCAATTACATCTACAGCATGCCCCCAATCTACTAACCAAGTTACTAATCAAAAAATGAGATAAGTGTAGTTGGACCTTTAATCATTGCATGGCTTTCAAAATCTCCCAGGAAACCTCCCATCACCCAACAATTCCCTCAGTTCAAATGTTATGCAAACTACACCTAATGCAAGGTAACTGGGCCATTGCGCTGAGGAACCCTTGGAGAGATGGGGGATGAAATGTCTGCAGAAAATCTGATTAAGGCCTCTGTACTGATCCTAAAGCCTGGAGAATCCCATTACAAAATATGAACTGGTTTCTTTTTGATCAGATTGCCTGATCTATAGTTTCCTAGAGCTTTGTTTTGACTCTTAGGGGACAACGTTTGCCCTCCTTCAGTCAACTGATATTTCAGTTCTTCAGGGTTTTTCAGAGTACCTAAGGGTTTGTTCATAGCATTAGCAAATTCTTCTGTTTCCAACTGCCTAGCACAAGGAAGGGAAAGAAGATTGCTACCTACTTCCCAAATGAACTCCAAAATCAACATTGTTTTTCTGAATTTTACAACAGGATCCAGTCAAAAGATGCACAAAAATGCACATTATTAAAGGGAGAGAATAGAGGAAAATGTGTAATATCATATAGGCATATGCCTATATTCTCTTCTGTTGTGTTATATTAGGAATTACAAAATCATAGTTGCGGGGGTTCCTGAGGCCATCTACCCCAACCCCCTCCTCTGCTGTGTTATCCAACTGCTCTGATTTGTAGAAGGTGACCCGTGTTACTCCCACTTCGGAAAGAGCGTGTCCCAAACCATGTTTGGATCGATGGCGATGAAAACCCATTCAATTGTTCATGCAGGCTTTTGCTCATGCAAGCGAATGCAGGACAGAGACAAAATGAGATGGATTTCAGGAAAATGAGAAACTGGATCAGACCCGTCTTTCTGCCTCTAATTGGGGATCCTCACTGTGGCACCGAGCGAAAAAGAAAAACGAGTTACTTCTCCTGCTCTGACGGAAAGTGACAAGCCAACTTCGATGGGTAAAATGAGGAATAATTATCTATCCATTCCCCTGATCTGGACGTGCTCCTCCTGCTCTTTCCAACAATCCTCGTTCTTTCCTCCTTAAGTCTTCAGAGCCCCACTTATTCCCAAGTCAGATCCTGCCATGCCTCACAACGCTTGGAGCAAAACTAAAGCTTTTGATTGCTAGGTTTTTCAACCCGGGGGAAGGTGCCGCTTTCTCTCCTGGCGCCACGTACT